ATTTAATATCATCGACATGTCACTGAAACAGATTATGACGCCATCCCTGGCCGCAAGACGGAGAACCCTAGTGAGAGTATGTAAGGAATGCTAGGAAAATTTCCTACCATTTCTCTACGGCACTTACAGTAGAAGCGCCGTGCGTCCCGTCATGGGTCAGTAAAAAGGCATGATTTAATTTCAATGATTTAATTTCAGTTAAATCTCTTAAGACCTATTAAAATTAAACTATGTGTTTTCTAGCACAATCAATAGGCCAGTGGTAAGGGAAGCTTCAAAACCACTTCGTTGCCACTCAGTGCAATCGGTAGCAAAACCAATAGTCGCACGATGTTGGGCTGAAGAAAAGTTCAAAATGCCTAGCATTCCAACCAGTGCTTTATTTCTACATTTACATCTATATCTATCAAGTTGGTAAAATCATTAAGACATCTCACCAATTAAATCATAAAAGTTGATTATAAAATATATAAATAAATAAATAAATAAATTAATAAATAAATAACTAAAACAACCAACCAACTGATCGGTGTCAGCGTTGCACTGAGATGCAATTCTGCATCTGTAGATCTATTTCAAGCTAAAGATAACACTGTGATAATCACATCGAAGAGAGTGAATTCATTTTAAATAATGATCCTAATGAACTAAATTTAATTATTTCCATGTGATTATAACAGTCAAATATTTTAGGGTGAAACTGAATCAACCTTGTTTGCAAACAAATTCATCTTTAAAAGTTACACTTTTCCGACTTAGCATTCGAAAAACAGTGGTAAAATTAAGATGATTTCCGCAGAACATTCGAGCCATGGCAAAAATAAAGTTACCAAAAAACCTCATGGCATGGTACTTTGAATAATGGTAAGAGAAGCTTATCGAGACTTAAACTCGCGAGGTGACCCCGCGAGAGAAAATTGAACTTAAAGTTATCCATATTTTAATTAAAACGTACGTTTAGCGTTAGTTGAAATTAATTACAGTGAGATGTTTTAAATCGTATTCAAAATGTTACCATGCTGTGAGTAGATTTTTTAAAAAAATAATTTTTGCACATATTGCTCAAAAACTTTTGAGCGCAATCCGTCTTAATTACATTTAAATATTTACAGTATGGTACATTCTTGACGCCTTAGCACTCATCTTCAGAATGAGTCGAATCTGACGCTCTGTTTAAGTAAGTATTTCTTGAGGATCCACTGATTGGACGATCTACGTAATCAACTTCCATCATCGTGCTCGACACGCTTCTTGAGGCCGACGGAAGAGCACTCATAGTCCCTAAATCGCTATCCGCTTCGCTATTGGCGTATTCTGGCTCAAAGGGACTCCTAGTAGATTTTCGTAGCTAATCATGGTCACAACCTGTCTCTTTGATGTTTCTTTCCATAACTCTCATGTTTAATGTTTCGTGGAAGGAGGTACTTCTGTAGTTGGGGTCTTTAGGTACGTCAACTTTTAAGAATGGCTCGTCGTTCATTACCCAAGTACCACGGTGAACTGGCTGAATTTTCTCAAGCTCCGATGGTGGGATGGGGGAACTTAAAGTCGAAAATAAAATAACCACGAATGAATACATGTTATAAATATGGCGAGGAAATTAAAGAAAACGCTAAAGAAACCACAGAAATTATGTCATTGTATAATTACTTTATAGTAGAAATCACTAGAAATTGGAAGGGGACTGAAAGAAGACCATCCAATGTTCAGTGTAAAAACAATGACACAAACAACAGCTGTGGCCGTAATAAGAAAAACAACAGGGAAAACAGCAACAACGACTGTAACAACAATAACGATGTTCCAAATCAACATATTTTGTTTTTACTTACTCGGCAGGTTTAACTCTTGATTGTTTGCATAATCCTTTCTTTTTGCAAATGTAAACTCCAAAGCATCCAACTGCTATCAGTAAAACAGAAAACACCGTGAAGATTGCAGCGACGGCAGCTTTTGATAAGCCCCCATCATCTTGAAATCGCGCTGCTGAACGTCGCGCATCAGCTCTCAAGGTGACAGTAATGTTCTCCACTTGGTAACCACGCCATAGAGTTTCATTAGCTTCGCTCAACATCTGGGCATAATAGCGGTCGCTGAATGGAGAGCTGTACGCCACTAGTAAGTAAAAGCTTGCGATAATGCTTCCATTCCTGAAAGAAGTTACTTCAGCATCTAAGGAGACAATGTTCATAATTATTTCCTCCACTTCATACGCAAGGGTTTTGAACATCGTCGTGTTTGGATTGGACAGGTCTTCGTGAAATTTTCTGTTCCTTATGACCAAGGAACCGTCCATGATCTTAAACCGCGCGGTGGAGTTCGAAGTTGGTCTGATATTGGTCAGCACAGCACTGAAAGAGTGAGAATCTGTAGTCTTCAAAGGTTTTATCAGCGTTGCAGAAGTATAGGTCGGACTTGGAAAGATCCTTACAGTCTCAATTGTCAAGGCGTACTGTAAGTAAGTTATATTGTGCAAGTATAAAGATATATTGCTGGACGCTAGGGTAATGATACGACTTGCAGATGACTTGTTTAGCGAGAATATCGTTGATTGTATTGATGGTGACATTGTGGCAATGGAGCTCTGCTTTACAGTTGCATTTATTGGTATGAACCAATCACTTGAGCCATTAACCAGTGTGTTATAAAGTTTCATGGAAGAAACGGAATAGGCTTTCTTGGTTGATAGACTGACGTTTAGACTTTCCCCAGAGCTAGGACGCAGTGTGGAGGAGATGCTGCTCGAGACCCTAGAATTATCTAACTGTGAAATCGTTGTCCTTGAAGCTGGTTCAGCTGTTGATATTCCTCTACTATCTGAGATGACTGGGGTGATTGCTGAACGTGTGATTGTTGAAATCTCCAGAGTGTCAGTCAAGGTTGTATACCAGGTCTGGTGCTGAGATGTTTCATGGGGATTGCTAGACGTAAGATGTTCCCCGGAAGAAGTAACAGTCGATATCCGGGTATTCTCGGAATGAGAAGACATTCCGCTAGGTGTTAGCTGACCAGCTGATAAGGATTTTGCAATTGACTGGAGACCTTTGGACAATGCAGTAGATTGCTTTGAAGAAATAGGTGTGGTGATAGGACTGATTGTAATTGTTGATACTGCTAGGGCATCACTTGTACGCTTATGCAATGTCTGCTGATTGGCGTGCGCGCGTTTCGTAGTTTGAATCGTGAGATTAGTCGCCAGACGTTCTTTTACGCTACTCTTTGGATTCAGGTGTTGAACCGAATCAGTCGAACGTCCAGCATGCCATTGTTGTGTGCTCATTTTTCTAGAGGCTAAGGCCGACTTGGAGTTTGATGAAGGGATGTGACTTGCAATATTATGGGTAGCAATCCAAGATGAAAATCCGTTGGTGGTCGCCTCTGATGCAAATGTTGGCAGGTAGTCATAGGTAGTATGTGACGAGACGGAGCTGTGTGACGAAACCATAGCAACGGGTAGAGAGGTCAATTCACCAGGTGATGAACCCAATAGCGATGATTTTTTGCCGTAGTTTGAATTTAGTATCACAGCACCGCCAAATGATGTTGCGTTTATAACAGATTGCGGCTGACTTATTGATGGGCTTGTTTGCAGAAGACTTGAGAATAATGTAAAAGTTTTCAGTGAGGTGATATCTTCAGCTGTTGAGGTGCCATAATGACGAGTGTACCGTAGCGATGTGGAAATAGCAAGACTGTCTTTTTCTGTTTCCGAAACTACTTGGTTGGTACTTCGAGGACTAGGATTAGTTCTTTGTGTGACTGAAAGTGACGTGGCTTTTGTAGGTGTGAGGACTTTTTCAACTGCACTAGATCCTTGAATGGCAAATAGAGACAAAGAAGTAAATGGTGTCATTACAACAGGCGTGAAATCGTCCCTTAAAGATCCAGAACTAACCAGCTTACTCTCTGTGGAAATCAGTTCACTGAGCCGTGCGGATTGGCTGGTCTCGTGGACTTTTCTGAAAGACGACACCGACTCATGAATACTGAAACCGACAGCGGGAGTATGAGAAAATAGCATCGACCATGTGCTTCTGCTTTGATCAGAAAAAGAAGATTTCATTAAGCTGCTGGTTTCTTTAACCGTGGTGCTGTACTGTCCATCTAGCGTTATTGGCGAGATCGACTGCGAGGACACCCACTCGTTACTAAAAGTGTTTCCCGGTAAGCTTCCCTCCAAAGAGTTTACGACGTTGGTTGATTCTGACAGCTTGTAAGGCAACGAGGAAGACAGGTTGGAATTTGTGATGGGTGAAAGTCTACTTGCAGAAATATCTGACCCTCCTATTGTTAGATTAACTGTTTCAGAACCCCAACGGTACGTGACAGCGGACGAACTTGTCGGACCTAACTTTGAACGATCACGTTCCTTCGTTGTTATTAGTAAGTCGACACCCAATCCCGTTGATTTAGAGTTATTTAACTTTGACGAATTTCTGATTGCAGTTGAGATAGAAGACCAAACATTTGTACTTCCAGGCGATGTTACTCCAGATACCAAGGTTCTAATATCCTGAGCTGTTGAAGTTAAGGTTCCAGTTGTTGACTTTTTCTTAGTAGGCAGGGACGACGTACTATAACTAGGGTTCTGAAGACCAGGTGACTTAGCTTTGCTTTCAGTAAAGTACCCAGTGGATCTAATGATGTTCAAGGACGACACTGGAGTAAGAAAACCACTTTCTGAAGATGTCTTCCTTTCAGTAGTATCATCATCATTCCAAGAACTTGTTCCATGGACCAGGTAAAACGAAGTTGTAATCTTCCTTTCACTAGATTTAGGCGTATGCGTTATTGGCTCGGAGGTGGTGTACAACTTAGTAGAGTCCTGTCTTGATAACCATTGTGACGTTGTCGATGTTGGACTTGATAACTTTGGCGGGGCGAAAGTTGATTTTGCTGGATTACAATTTTTTGTTTCATAACGCGTCACCAGATCTGAAGACTGAATTACTGTTGTTGGTGTTAACGTCCTGGCAACGGATGTTGTTTCCTCTGATAGACGACGAACTGTTGTGTGAACTGAATGCCAGGAAAGTTGTTTCTTAATGGATTCTACAAGGGAAAAACACAAAGGCTTTAATCATATGGAAAACATATGACCTTTATAGTTCGCAAGGGTTGCATGGTGAATGTCGAAACGATCAGTCTACTTAGTCCTGACCATTTCTGCCATTTTACCGCTGCTAAATTTCGCTGTAAGCTTTTCACTTCTGCATAAAATTTCTGATGGGGTAAAATTTTCTCACAAACTACCGATGAATGTATCCAAAGTAACGCTACAAACAAATCTCAGGAATATCATAAAAGCAACGCCGTCACTAACTGCGTCATTTTGTCCATTAATTATTCGACAAAGTTGTCCTTCACTGATGGAACCTTAAACCAACGTCATATCATTTATGAAATTTCGTAAAACTTGGCAGATTGGTAGTAAATATTTTACATTAGTCAGAGCTCGTCATGTTTTCAGGGAAATCTATAAGACCAGTTTTTTCGCAGCGGTAAAAGACGTAAATTTGAAAAAATCGAAAAACCTGCCTCTACAAACCCTACTTTTTTCGTGTTTAAAATTTGTGTTCCGCAGGAGGAGATATGCTGTGAAAATTTTGGAAGATTTTACCGAAGGAATTTCAAGGAAATCGCAAGTAAAGCCATAGAAAAGTAAAAAAAAAAAAAAACAAAAAAAAGGAAAATAGAAAAAACATATTTGTTTGGGTATTTCTAATTCAAGACTAAAACCAATAATTTTAACAGAGATGATAGTAAAACACTACTTAATCATTGCTTATTACATGTAATTAGTTTGAGAGGACTGGGTGTAAATACGAATGCAAAAACGGCATTCAAAACAGAACACTTGCGCGCTCAACGCCATAAATGATTACCCTATGGAGCCACCTTAATCAAATTGAGCTACAATTTAAAAACCATTGTACAGAGGCAGACCAGCTTTATTACCAAATCTTACGCACGATCTTTCAATCTTCCAGCACGTTCCTTTTTAATCGAGACTTAAATTATAACTGACAGATATACTTGTGGAGTTGCTGTCAAATGACACGTCGGTTTCCTTCGTGGCTAACGGTCTAACCTCTTCCTTAGCAACCGGTTTTGCCACGTGATCATTTTTCAGACGATTCTTAAAAAGTCAAATTTTACCGTCTTATTTTTTTCGTTTCTCAGTTATTTGCATAATTCCGAAAAGAAGCGAGGAGACAAAACCATTCCTGACCAAATAGTTAGGAAATACGAGAATCTATCACGACTTCCGTCGTGGAATGAAAAAAAATGATCATGGCTGTTAAGCAATCAATGATTAACAATGGTCCGCAATTAACTGCTAGCCAGTAACTATTTCCTTTTACATAGACCGTATATATGTGTTTTTTTCTATAATATTCCTGTTGTTATCATATGAATATAACTTATTTTTTCATAAATTAAGGCTGTAGGTTTGTTTCAGCTTTCTTTTTGCTACTAGTCTTGCAATTCCTGTTCTACCGTCGTTAAAAATGAAGAGAAAACATTAATACATAATTTCGATACTTTTTAGCAGTAGTTTGAAGTTCCACTTTTATTTACGTAATGAGATAATTGCAGAAGCTGTAGATAATTCAATTCAAAAAAACCGAAAAAAGGAAAAAAAATCGTTTACTAACCAGAGGAAGGCTGTATGGTGTTGAAAGAGCCCAAGATTGTGGTAGGTTCCTTTACGCTTGTGTTTCCTGATGCAAATCCCGTGTTATTTTCACTCACTGCTCCGCTGTAATAGTGTTGTTCTCTGTTATAGAGTTCTCTTGTAACGAGGTAAATTACAACTCCTCCAATACCAAGAAGAAGAATGAAACCAAGTGTTAGCAGTGCTATTTTACGCCTTCGAAGCACTCTTCTTTCATCTTCAGTTGGAAGCTGATATTTTCTGGCGCTTTTCGACAAACTAGCAATACAGGCCTCCTCCAACTTTATCCCATCGGGAGACAAGTCTGTTTCAGAGCTTCCGACTGATACTTCGTCCGAAGCCTGTTCCAAAATAGGCGAGAAGGTGACCGATTTTGTCTCAGCCATTTCGCAGGTGATATTTCCCTTGCAGCTTGAAACCTCGACCACATCATTAGCACCCACCTTTTAGCTTCGAGACAGTTTTCATGGTAACGAAATATGTTTACAAGTGCTACGAACCACAAAAAGGGTTAACACAGTAGAACTTCTATTTCGTCATTACTTGTGCGGGTGGCAATCCATTAAGAGCAAAACAGGCACTCGTATTTCAGTTCGTAATAGATGAGGTGTTCATACTATTATATCGCTTCACGCGTTCAGTATAATCTTACCTTCCAAGAGGAAGAAAGAAAGAAAGAAAGGTGTCCTTATTTCTACGAAATAATAAAATAATTTACCAAAACAATTAGATCTATTGCTCCCGGTGTTAATGCAGTGCTTAAGGCACTCACATTAATAATTAAAACGAAGGATTATAACATTACCAATGTGCGGGAAGAAGGATCGACGAGCTTGAAAAGCACCTGCGCCTATTTTGTCTCTGCATGAATTAAAGCCTTTGGTAGATAACGCTATATTCTCGGTAACACTTAGTCTGAAAATAATCACTTCTTCTTTCTACTCCTGCTCCCCCCGCCACCCCCTCGTTAGCCATCCTTCCCATTCCGGGAAAAAATGGAACGGCTGTTGAAGTTGTAGATATCATTATACAGATACGCCATATTGATGATATGCGTTTCTAGAACTAAATTGGACTATTGGCTCCAACCGTTTATGATATGATTATCATTTATTATATAAATAAGATTCGATTTGTCGATTTGTAAAAACAATTTTCTCCCGTCTTAAAGATTTCCCAAGATTATCCGAGTGTGACAGGAACATTTGTAAACATTTCACGAAGGCTGTCAAACACTAACGAAAAGAGATAGGATGATTTTTGGCTGCAAAACCACTATTTGAAGCTAATTCCACGTTTTTTTAAAGGGTGTAAGCATATTCAAAAGCGGCCGCCATTGGCACCCTCTCGCATTTTGCAATTCAATTCTGTTTTTTTTTTTTTTTTCACCCGAGCAATCTCGCAAATCATCCTATTGTAGTCCATAAATGCTGTGTACTTTTTTTTAGCACCTCCCAAAAGCCTGCTAGTATTTTTGTCCTTCTCAGCCCACAAATGTAAGTGTATTTGATGATTTTGCGCATAGTCATAAGCCAAGAGTAAAACATTTTAAAATGTTTTAATGTTGTTTTAAGTTCTGTATCTGCCGACAAAGAATTCAGAGGACATCGCAAAGAATTTTAGAATTCTCAAGAAGTGCCAAAGCAAGCTCGACTGTCATTTTTGAAATGCTTGTTATCAGAATTTTGGCCGAAATTCAACAAACAATGCGACTCGCTCCGCGCGAAAGTATTTGTTTTCAACACTTATAATTCTCTTCACCTTTTTTTTTTAGCTTGTAGTTATAATGTTATATTTTGTACAACTATGCATACCATTTGCATTAGACTTTTTTTTTTTAATTTTTATCGCCTATTGTTCCAGATACATATTTTAGCGTTTTTAACCATATCATTTATGCCTACGTTTATTTTTTCTTCTATCGAACTTGAAAATGGCCTTTGAACGGTCGAAACGTTGTTCGCTTATAGCGTTAATAATTATCACAAAATCAACTTCAAAAAACTTATTGATTCGAATTATGGTTAGTGGCAGTTTAATTATCACTTGTATTGCCCAGCAAAGGAAGAAGAAACCATGAATATATGCTTCACGTTCTCTCCCTTAATTTAATTTGTCGCATTTAAGCACGGTGAACGATGATCAAGCAACGCGAAACTACTACTATTTATAATACCTATTGATGCTGTCGCGTGCGCTTTAATGCTCCTGTCAGACAACCGATAGTGTCTTCGAAACTGTTAAAAAGTAATGGTTTGGTACCGTTTAAACCAATCGAGTCCTGTATGACAAGATATTAAAAATAACAGTTGATAAAGGGTGATTGCTTGTCTAACATTTAAGGGATAGTTCACCCTCTTGCAAGATTCTCGAATCTTGATCAATAAAATAAATTTGGGCTAAAGAAGACTCAGGCAATCCCTCATCTTATTACAATAATGACGATGTCGCTTTTCGGTGTGTTGTGTTTATCATTTCCACTGTACGAGTTAATTTCAGTTTCCTTCAAACTTTGCTCCTGTCATAAACTTTTTCAGTTTCACAAAACTTTCAGTAGTTTCAATTGCAATCATGATGAGTTGTGTGAAAACTATCTTTTTGTGTGTGATGTGAAAGATACATTAGTTTTTGTATTTTCTGATTTTCGAAAGTTCTCGATGGAGCAAATGCCCAAGAAAGTACAAAGTGCTTTTCGAGACATTCTACAAAGCATACACATTCCCTCAGCCCCGCTCTGATGGGTAACCTCATTGTATCCTGTTTTGCTCGAGTGTTTCAAGAAGACTTGTTTT